AACATACTATATATTGTGAGTGCGAATAGAAAGCCCGTGTGGAACGCTACCACAACAGACAAACGTACCACTTTTTGATTCACCGATTTGTGTCATGCATTTAGCTGGCATGTAGAAATTTTTGGTTCCGTTATCCCATCCTTGGCATTTACGGCACTGGGTAAGGTTTTGGAAATTTCCTCCAATCTTCCTAAAGTGTTCCCTCTTCACTCGGACATGGAGCATAAGGCTAGCTTTTTCGAAGGCCTTAAGGTTGTTTAGTTAACTAGACTTGAAGTGAACTAATTAAAAATCATTAGAAATCCCGTTGTGCGAATTACCAGGACGGGATTTCATTTTCATTTTGATTACTTGGACTGGCACAACTCCAAGTAATTTTGCCAGTTCATCTTTGATCTGATCCAGGGATTCACCACAGGGCAGACCTTTCATGACAACCTTGAACACACGTTCAGTTTTGGTATCGTAAGTAAAAAAATTGTGCTGCTTCTCAGTAAGATACTTGAGGAGACGTTTGAATCCGTCCAAGGTTTCAGCCAATACACGGAATCCACCCCGACGGCCAATTTGCAGTGAAAACTTGAATTTCACGAAGTTCAAAAGTTCCGTGCGAAGAGCATGGAAATCGGAAGTGGTTGTCACAATAGGGGGAACCTTTTCCTTCTTAGCATTAAGAATTAGAATTTTTCCTGGACGATGGATCATTCTCATCATCCGTGAGCAAATCAAATTTCATCGGAAGGGGGCTCAAGAGATTGCCCTTTTCTTTTGCGTTTAGGCGCCATGGCGGCAGTTAAACTTTTATCCAAATCGACTTTCAAGCAGATTATTATAAGAATAAGAAGGATTGTAGAGGAATTTTCCAAATCAATTTCCAAGCATTATTACCTTCAAACAAGGATCGTTCCTCTTCGAAGAGTCGAACAAGGTTTGAAATTTACAGGTGTATTGAGCACTGAAAAGTGCTGTTTAGATTTGTTGTAGCTTTAGGTAGCAGTAACACTTCCTTCAGCAAAAAGCAAATAGATCCGCACGGCAAGAGAGCACGATGCGGACTGAACCTTATTGATGCAGCGGCTTTTCATATTTGACATCCTGAATAACAACGTAGACTGCCGGTACCGCTGAACAACATTCATCTCAACATTCCAGGCAGAACAACTCGACACGCTGATTTTCTCCACCTTCATGTGCACCGCACTCTCTTTGGACAGAACAATCCGTTTGATGTTTGTTTTCGTCGTTTTAATGAATGTTTATCAATTTTGATTTTAATATTTTCAAGATAATAAAGAAATAGTAAGAGTATTATCTGTCTGAAAATAAATAAATATTAACAGTAAGAATTCTTCCCATGAACATTTTTCAAGGCGAAATTTAGAATCTTGGAAATGTTTCACTATCCCTTATTTTGTGTATTTTTTCAGTTGCTTATTGATGATAAAAAAATCTAATTGCGAAATCACAAAACTCTAAAAACAAAATAAGTCTTAGACTCAAATTAAATGTTAAAACTTTGCAAGCATTATAAATCTTAGAAATTTTACCAATTCGCTTTTCTTAAGATTTCTGTGAGTGTAGACCACGGACTGTTAAAATACTTTTTCGCTCCGAAATCTCCAAGCATTTTTACTAGATCTCATTTGTATCAAAAACAAGATTTCTAAAACAATTTCTTATTTCAAATCTCATTGTTTACAATTCAATCTAATGACCCTTCAGTTGACTTACACCATAGAGGTAACTCTAAGACCACTGGGTCCCGAAGAAAATCATTATTATTTTTGGCTCACTCAGTACCAGAACAACGGTCCCAAGCAGTCCCAAGCTATTTCACTCACCCCTGCATGTTCTGCATGAATCCACACACCCCTGATGTTATCTGTCAAACTTTCATAGCGAATCAAAACAAACATAGTGTAGTAATAGAATTTCAACTAGAATAGGGTACGTTAATCGTTTGCTTGGGACCAATAGGCTACTAAAGTGGTGAGCCAATTTAAAATCGTTAGTTTCGTATTGATTGTTGCTTACACGCTGGACTGACTGATTCGTACTTATTATTTGCCCTTCTTTTGGACATGAGCAGTTCATTTTTCGTGTTTTATTACACCCAACGGCATTATGCCAAACGACATCTTTTCGGTGTATCCGTTTTTAACTGCAATTTCTTCAAAATAAACGGGAATATCCCATTTGGCATAATGTCTATGCCACCATTTGGTATAACTGCCGTTTGGAATAATGGCGATTTGGCATTAAGGGAAATAAATACATATTTGGCAGATCATCGTTCAAAAGAAGGGAAAATGCCCATTAAATAATTATTTTCAATGGGGCAAGTGAACGTTTGTGAACGACTTAATGCCAGATTTTAGAAAGTTTTGCCGCTTTAAATGCCTCATGGTTGCGTAAAGTACATTAAAAAATCACATGTTTGTGCCCAGATATTGTCAGAACTTGGCATTAGGGTCGAATTTTTTCGAGGCTTTTGTCACATTCTGCTCCATTTATGATTGTTCAAAATATATAAATGCTTTTTAGACATTTGTGAATGCTTACATGGGTTTGGAACCCCGATGACGTACCATAGGCTGATATCCCCTAAAAAAAATTTCAAGATATACCCAATCATACCCTGAAATAAAATTATCCCTCCACTATTGACATTTTCTTGTTCTACGCGCACAGGTACAAATGATATAATTTGGGTACACGACGTTAGGCATACGGTCGTTAGGCATATCGATGTTAGGTATACGGACGTTAGGCATACGAACGATAGGCATAATGGACGTTAGGCATAATGGGCGTTAGGCATAATCTACCCGATGAATTCCAGACGGACGATAATGGGGACCTTCTATTGTTTGCTGACATCGGCGACAATAATGAAAGAGCCTTAAAACTAGCGACGTCTTGGACAGGCAAAGTAATGGGTTGCAGATGGTACGTTTGCCACAGTTTCTTGTTTGTTTCGGCAACTCGTGACTGTTAATGGAAGTATCGCTGCCTCACATCAGCAGACGGTTCCGCTAATTTTCATTCAACAGACAACAAAAACAGAATCATTGTAACGAAAAGTATGGGAGTAAATCCTGGAAGCAGCAGGTATGTTTTTTGTTATTGAATGAAAAACCACAGAATTCACCATTCTTCATTACATGAGCTGTTCTTTGGCATCATCTTTTATTCAACTTAGCTGTTTTATTGTTATTGAATGAAAAATCACAGAATTCACCATTCTTTATTCCATGAGCTGTTCTTTGAGGAAAACCTTTTCTTCTTTGCCAATTGCAATATGTTTTTAAGAATATATTACAACAAATGTGTGATTTTTTTTTTATTTCTAGATGCGATTGATTTCAAGATATAGTTCAAAACTATGCCAGATTAACCGCTATCGCTACTAGTCTTGGATCTAAGTAAATATCTAGCTACTTCACTTATGGTATGATACATAATGGATTCCAAACTGTGGTTATTAAATAAAGTATGTTTGTATAACTTGTATCATCTTTTATTCAACGCTTAGTCTAATTTAAACATTGTTTACCATGCTCGAAACAGGTTTCTAGAGTTGAACAGCAGCAAGTATTTTATGCCTAACGTCCATTATGCCTAAGGTCCGTATGCCTAACGTATTTATGCCTAATGGGGTACACTCATATAATTTATCATCTCGAAACAAACTTTTGCCTGTAGCTCTTCGAAAACGTCACCAATTCTTGTGATATTTTTGGGGAAGTCTGCCCTGCCTAACAAGGACCATAACAATGAGTTTTATTTTGCACGGGCTACGAAAATCTCAAAACAAACTTTTGCCCTAGCTTACTCTAACTTCTCGAGCACATAGAAAAAATACGTACTAACCATAAATGCAAAACTGTCCCATTTACTTAGGAAATCAAGAAGAAATGTAACTGTTATGCGTTTACGGGCAGAGTACGTAACAATAGTTGCCAATCGATAGATTATTTTCGCTAAAAAATCACATGGGACCGTAGGCATTTGTTTTGGGCATTTGAAAAAAAAAAAAAATATGTCGAGAGTTTTCCACAGCCACGTTATCGTTGCCGGAATCTATAAATGAGTACATACATCGTTGATCGTGTTCTCGTTATCGTCAAGCATTGCATTTCACCGAAACAAAATTGCGCACTTACGTAAGTGTACACTATGCAATAACCGAATTAATGATCAATATCTATAACAACTCGATCTGACTGAAGAAGGAGGACGTAGCATCATCACTTTTTTTCTACCGTGACGCAACCAACCTCACAAATTTGAAACTGGAACTTTTGCCGGAACGTTATAATCGCCGCGGCATTCCTGCGCTTTGCTTCTCGCAACCAAACCGGTTCTGTACATAGGATTAAGATAAATAAAAGCAAAAGTTGTGTGCAAAACGAGGGATGGATTGTTTGAAGCCCGTGATCTTTTGTTGCAATGCATTATGGTTCGTGACATTAAAACCAAATCACGATCGAACTGTGGTGCATTGTATATTTCGGGGAATGTGATTGTAAAAATACAAATTTAAGCAATGTTTCATACAGCAAGATCAGATTTATTATGCGAAGACTCAAGAAGAGACCATAATTATATACAACAAATTAAGCAAATATAAACAAAAGCAATACAATTTGATTTTTTTAACGATGCAGATCTATAGGCGTGTAGCAATCGTTTCTCAATAATAAATCATAAGAATCTATTTTTCCTCGGTAACAACAATAGCTTGCATCGAGGCCACCGAGAAGCTGTTCACTTTCAATTCAAACCGGTATCAAGAGCGGAAAAACTAGTAGCGTAGCATTTTAAGTTTTCAAATTGGACACGTAACGAATTGCCTTTCTCTTGAATGGCACACGGTTGGCAACACCTAACAAAAAGGAATGGTCTCTATAGCTTGCTCGGTTTGAGACGATTGCTTATTTTGTGGTTTATTTTCGTAAGCAAGCCTTTGCATTTTACACTAGGTTTGTTTTTCTGCCTTCATTGCACTTAATAATGGTCAGTCATTAGACTTCCTAGTACATGATAACGTACGTAAGGGATCTAGAGCAGCGGTTTGTAGCCAATTGGACTTCAATGTAAACCACTGAGCCACAATAACCACTGATCTGGATTATCTATTAAAAGAAATGTTATATATTGCAAAATATCTTAATTGCCTAAATAGTTTTATTCGTCCTAGTAAAAAGTACGTGTTTCATAAAATAAGTATAAAATACAAGCTGTGCTGTACTCATTGTAGAACTGCTTCATTTATCACCATTCGCCACTTTTTCCTCATCTGCCATCAGGTGCACCGGACTAACCAAGGTCTTTCCGTGTATTATGACCTTCAATCCTTCTCCGCTATATGATAAAAGTGGAGAAATTTCGCACTCTTCACCATTCACAGTTCCGCCAGCAGTTTCGATGTATCTCTTATGCAGCTTGTAAATATCGGCTCGGGCCGTACTAGCACAGTCCTTACCGGCGCTATCTGCGTTTTTTAGAGCACTGAACTCTTCATCTCGTGGAACTTCAACTGTGACAAAATGCTCCGCAAATTGGAACACATCAAACACGAACTTTTCAATTTTTATTCCATTGAGTTTATCCGGGGTGCAACGCGTTCCCGTTGAGTCAATGAATGGAATTTTCTTTTTAGCTACATGCAGCTTAAGATCCTTTTCAAATGTTGAACCAATTTTGCGCAGAAAACTGGTCGTGAAGAAGTGGTTGCAAATGTTACCAGCATTGAAAACCAATCGCCCGTCTTCTTTTTGAAGCTCGGCAGTCTTTTGGGTAATCTCACTATACTCCACTACTTGATACTTTCCATCAACCTGGCACACAACTCCGACGGCTTCGTTTGGATGAGACTTTTCGACAACCTTGGCAGCACAATCAGCTTTTTGTTCAGCACAATAACCGATGAAAACGGGATCGGCGACCTTTATCAATATGTTATCAACGCTGTGTGCATGTAAATATAACACGCCTCGTCGTTCCATGTCGTCCAGTATTCCACGATCGCGCAAAGCTCGATACAATCCTCCATTGCCATCGGGGGCCTTTGCGATTCGATGCTTCTCATCTAATAAAATCTTTCCCTCGAAATCGTAGCAAGGTAAGCTTCCCTGTTCAAACATCATTATGTCCTCTGCCTTCAGTCCGAAATAGTTGTTCTGTTCAAAGTATTTTCTTGTTGGAATCATGGTATGTTCACTGGTCATAATGTACCATGTAATACGCCCACTCTTTCCAGTCAGTTCAGCAGCGAGCCTTTGCAATTTCAAAATCCTCTCACCTTGGATACGAAACAGTGATTTATTGGACGGTAGACCCACGTTGAACATTCCTTTCGGATGAGCGAAGCCCAGTCTAGTTCCTTGTCCACCAGCCATTAGTAGTACGCCTACCCTTCCCTCGGCAATCTGTTTCAATCCTTCCTCATTGTATTTCTTCAGTTGATCTTCGTCCGTCCTAGAAATCGAAAGGTATTTGTCCTCACATACTGGTTTCATCTTATCGTCCAGTTTTTCATTTCCCTCCGTCAGTGACGATGTGGCACGTTCGAAAAACTCATTCACTTCCTCAAGATTCAATTCGTCTATGTCCTCCGTTAGTAGCCGTTTCTGCTCCTCGTTCAATTCCTCCCAATACTTGAGCAAGTGTTCCTGACGGTGCTTGGTCAGGTTCGTCTTCAGGGTATCCATGTTGGCCACCGCGACAATCAACAAAAATAAGCTTATACGCAACACTCAACAACAATTTATAAACGTTGGTAGCGATAAAAAACGATAATGTTACTTGCACCACACCCACGGTTGTATGCTTCCATCCAGCTGGGAGTGAAAGTTTAGACTGATGCACAACTTCGAATTGATTCGGAGGCTATCCCACAGAGACTTCGTTGCTGGCTGTAGTACAGAAACACAATCTCCTTCCTTCTTTCGTGTTTGGTATTTACCCCGCCGTTTTGCTACTCGGCTGGCTGTGGCAGATAAATAAAATTTGTGTTTACGTTTAAAGAATCTGACAGTTCTCTCTGTTCTCTTTTAACGCTCTGATGACACTCGGAGAATGAATCCGTCACGCTGGTTATTTTGTACGGAATGAACGAAATGAACCGAGAAAATGCCGACGTGTTGATGTACATCACGGTTATGAATGAAAATGAACTACCGTAATTATTTACTACCAAAACCGTTTTACGCATCAGGAATGTGTACACAAAGTACCGCTATCTCTGATTGGGTATGCGAGCGCATTCAAACCGTTTCATATGGCATCGTGTGAGTTTCGGTGTGTGTTTAGGGAATCAGTGAGGCTACGTTTTTGCCTGCGTTTCTATGGAGAGAGCTGCATTTTTGAAAACTCCGTAAATCGTAGAATCTCTGAACCGTCAAATATTTCCGTTAAAGAAACTGCTGTTTATATCAGTAATTTATTTGTTTACTGAGTGTTTAAGTATACTAGATTAATTCTAAATAAATTCATCAAAAAACTTGATACTACCAGTAAATGATTTTGGGTTCCATACGATATGTAGGGTTAAAATGATTCTATTTTTTACGATTTTTAGTTGGGGATTGAGGTTAACATGATTAACGCTTCCTGATGGTTCGGCCGGTTAGTGGCTCTCTTAGTGGCACGGATGCGTGTCTGGAGCTTTACAACAGGCAATGCTAGTGAATGTTTTTGCTTCAAAATCAGTGAAACATCTGGAAGTCGATGCAGGAGTGCATAAACTGTCCAATTTCGTGGCAGTTTCTGCACTCCTGCGTTGGCTTCCAGATGTTTCACTTATTTTCACAAAGGTTTTCTGTAATCACACAGAAATTTCCGAGGTCAAGTGCGCAAGGTGAAACGGAGTAGCATGACGCAAGCAAGTTGACTTACTGGTGAGGTCAGCAATGGTGAAATTTTGTTTGATGACTGTTCAGTAAAACATAATGAATACTGAAAACTCGGTACTCTATTTTACTGAGTTTTAGTCATTCACCGTACGCCGCTGTTATTTTTCGGAAAATGTACACACTTAGTTTTTTTTTGCCGAGATGGGCACCACCGAACAGCACGGCATTTCATTTTACTGTATCTCAGTGCATAATTTGCCGAGATTCAGCAAAATTTATGTTTGTTAGCTGAGGTCTCGGCAAAATTCCCGTTTGTATTCAGCTCGGCAAGTTTTCCACTAAGATCCAGCAAAATAAAATGCCGAGTTGCTCGGTGGTGCCCATCTTGGCAAAAAATCTAAGTGTGTAGTACTTGATATTACCGTATTCAGTAGCTTGTCGCAATAGTTACTGAACATCAGTAGTTTTATTGAGAATAGCTGAATGTTCGATTTTTTTTTGATTTACAGTTCTGTAAACTGTAAAAAAACCGAACAGGGAAGCCGTGATTAAGGGCGATGATTCAACAGCGGAAAAGTTAATATTTTTGCTGAAATTTTTCGAAAATAAAGCTGAAATGTTGCTTAATAGCATACTGAAAACCCGAAGTGATTGCATTTATTCTGATGTTCTAAAAAGTTAACAAAAATACCTTTTTTAGAGATCTCAACCTCTTAAGTGTGTTCAGAATCAAAGAATAAAAATACTTCAAATTTGAAATTTGCTTCTTGTTTTTTTTTTTTTTATATCTTGGAAGGTTTTCAGAGCATTGATTTTTTTTAAAGTCGAAATATGCTACTAATGCTATCGACACCAGGGAGGCAGCTCTTACACCTGGATCCTACCTATAGACTCATCAAACTCATGGACCTGGAACCAACGGATTTACTTCTCTCCGAAGGAAGACGTGCTCAGAGATTTTATGGAGTTGGTTGGAAATGCTATCGAATCTCTATGCTATAGAGATTTTATGCCTGAGAAAAACCCAAAAAGATTTTTTTAATCAGTCCAAACTTAAATGGATACATAATATTGCTTTTGAATTGTTGCTACAGGATGTGAAACATTTGTTTATAAGTTTCATAAACTTGCATTCTATATGAAAACTCTTTGAATGGTGGAATAAAATTTAAACACTTCAAATCAAAAATATAAATAATTTATCGTAAAATAAAATTTGTAGAACGTTTAAGCAATTTCGTCTGAGAATTTTGTAATAATTGTGGTGTCTTTAGCTGAATTGAAAATTTATGAAAATTATGATTCAACAATTTCAATTTGCGAATGTTAGGAAAGAGTACGCATACCCCAGGCTGGGAACCGTAGGTGTACAATCTTTAATGTTGACTGCATTATGAACGGTAATTTTCTTTTACCTTTAGCACAGCTTCAAAAATAGTGATAAATGAAAAAGTGTGTTTAAATAGCATATGTTAAGTAGCCTTTTTTTAAGTTTATTCGATTGAGCCTGTACAAATAAATTAATATATAAAAAAAAAAAAAAAGTAGCCTTTTTGCAGTGAACAAAAATGGTTTACAGTTAGGGAATGAAACCCAAACGATCCGCCCCGACGCCGCCAAACATCTTTCTTTCAACCATGCGCAGTCCCTCCGAGATTTACAATAGTAATAATAATAATAATTATAATTGTAAGCACTTTTTAGAACTGGTATCCTTTTTTCTTTCCTTTATTTAACGTCGGTCTCTGTCCCGCTATCTAGTGCCAATCACCGACGGACATAGATTGCCATCCATTAACGGCAATCGAATGTGCAGGAAGGCAGCTTCCACACCTGCGTAGGATATCGCACCCATTCAACACACATGGGCCGGGACCAACGGCTTTACTTTCCTTCCGAAGGAAGACGTGATCAGAGATTTGTATGCCTCAGAAAAATCCCACCGACCTCGGCTGGGATTGAACGCAGATCCATTGGGGTGAGAAAGCAGTCACGCTTATCACTACACCACCGGCGCCGGCTATCAGAACTGGTATCCAAAAGTTTGAATTATTTTTTTGCTTTTTACCCTTCTTACAAAGAAAGGTATACCTTCCTTGGAAAACCGACTTTCAATCCGAGGCCTGGAGGACCGAGTGCTATATACAGCTATCCCCCGAAGAACGCGTTACCCACAAAGTTCTACCCACCGTTTTTTCTCGGCGAATTTTCAACCAGTCGGTCTGATTTATTGCATGTGAGTAGTGTCAATGGAGAACTACCCGAGCAAAGTCCAGCATCAAAATGAAAGTATGTATATTGAAATCAAGTTTTGATATAAACATCAAACTGAAATTCTAATTTGATTTCAGTTCATGCAATTGACAAATTTTGTTTTTATTTTGCTGTACATTTGCTCTTCAAAAATATGTTGTTGCGGGTTTGATTTCATTGCCTTAGCATAACATCAAATTGAATACTTGTTTTGTTATCAACAGGAAAAATTGATATCAAATTGAGTTTTCAGTCTGCTCTCACTGATAGCAGAAATAATTTTCAATGTGATGTCACAGGAAGATTTTTTTGCTCTCAATTTTGATATTTTAACCGTTAAAACGACCAAAATTTAGATTTCAATTTGATCTCAGACTTTGCTCGGGCTGACTTTCAGAAAATTTTAAAAACAAACTTAGTATATATATTTTTTGCCCAGATACATTGTATGTAGTGGCTACACTGAGGCAAAAGAACGTAAGAATTCCATAAGAACTACTTATGCATTTTAGCTACAAAAAATCGGTATGGATTTCATTGCCTTATGAAAAATAATTGTAATTGTTCAGTGTATAGGCTGTGCCAACCGCTAAGTTGACTTATCTAGGGTCTAACCCCCTAGTCTATACACCTACTGTCCTTCCCGTTGCACTCGTCAGCTCGTGCGATACTCTAGGCACACATGGGTGGTCGTATCCGGGTCCTTCCCTGGGTAGGCTCGTGTCCGTCCAGGTTCTGGTACATTAACATATCTCTATGTTGAGCCTTATGAAATTCTTGAGTTGTGTCTACCCTTTAGGGGGGACATCTGTTGAGATCTCTAAAAAGGGGTATTTTTTGTAAATTTTTTTAGAACATTAGTATATATGCAATCACTACTACTGATTTTCAGTATGTTAATAATCAACATTTCAGACTTTTCGCAGACTATTCGATCAATTTGGATGATTCTTCTGTCCGCGATGTAAAAATTAATTACCTAAAATTACATAGGATTCGGATATTCCAATTTTTCGATGCTTTACGCACATTTGAGTAGCGATTTTTTCAACGAAAACTCGGACTCTTTTTTTTTGGACGACACCACGTCTGCGAATTTAGCAAAAGTCATATGTTGGATTTTAGATATTTTAATGAAGAACTCAAAACACTAATTCATTTTTCATTTTCATTTTCATTTTCAAGCACAGAAGGGGGTCATAGGGCCAGGTCTCCAGTAAAACATCACTGTCCATACAGCACAAGGGTAGAGGTAAAGATTTGGCACCACAGAATAATAATCACAGGGATCAATTGAATCCTGCTTAAGATGCCGGATAGGGAGGTATAGTGTTTCAAGTAGGGGATATTCGGAGGAACAGTAGTATTAGTAAAAGTTGGAGTGTAAACGTACAGAGGACCATGTTTTGCAATACCTGTAAATATTGTTTTATAATTTCATTTACTTGTGTTATTGATTAGTTTAGTGATGGATAATGTACTTACATTTTGTTATCTACTTAGCTGCTAAAATCCGTGGAAAGGCTCCTCTTCGCTGTCCGGAAGCAAAAATCCTTCGAATTCCGACAAATCATATTCAGACTCGATAAGTGCGTTGAATATTTTCTTTGTGCCGGTCTTGTATTCGCCACGGTTGTATGCCAATTCCTTCCAATACGCCGCTGTTGTGTTGCTTCTTTCGAAGTCCTGTTTGAGACTTGTTTTCCACGTGAAGCAGGGTCGTCCTAGTTTCTTTTTTCCATGCACGCGATAATTGAGAGCTTTCCCTAGTATTCCTTGGGATGTGTTCCTTACCACATGTCCAAAGTAATTTAGCCGCGCCACTCTAATTTTAT